CTGTTTTGAGAGTCACAAGTAAGTCTCAAGTCTTGGCTATAAAGCTGCACGTCACAGAAAGACGCACAAACTAGAGTCAAGTTCCCAGTGAAGACCACAAAGTCCCAAGTCAAGACCAACAACTCCTGACTCAACAGGTCTTTAGTCAAGTCCCCAGACCAGATCAACAAGTACTGAGTCAACACAGGGTTCTCACTCTTTTTAAGAAATCCTTTTCCAGGACCTTTCCAGGACATTTTCCAGGAGTCATACTGACAATGCAGGACAGCACTTTCTCACAAACAGTTATATCATTTACCGGTCTCGGCTTCACAGTGACTTTAACTCCATTTTTATGCCTCCTTTTTTAATGATGAAGTGTCTCAGGTTCATAACGACGTTGAAAAGATCTCTGCGAGTCCGTTCCACCCCGCGTCCGGAGTGAACATCTAGATTGACTGACATGGCCGAAATGAAAAGGGAGCGCCTAGTTAACGCAGTTTGAAGTGTCACACCGCGCAGCTACCAACTGTCAAAAATATGCATCTATAGGTTTATGGAGGCGATCTGGGAGAGGGGCTAAAATACAATTAACATTTTTCAGGACAACGTGGATTATTTCCAGGATATTTCGTCATTTTAATCCATTTCCAGGTGTTTCTAGTCTCTAAATTTCCAGATTTTCCAGGATGAGTGGGAACCCTAAAACAGGCCTGGGTCAAGTCCCTGGTCAAGACCAACATGTCAAATTGGGTCTTAAGTCATAAGATTCATGACTTGAGTCTGAGTTGAGTTCAAGTCACGTGACCTAAGCGCAAAGCTCTTCCATAATCACTTATAAATGGTTCATGAATAAGAGACAAAGTCAAACATATACTGTGGCTACCCCCAGTGACCTCGCTTTGCATTAAACTGGTGATAATGTGATTAACTGGTTGCAGCTTACCGAGGGTCTCCTTTGTTCATGTTGGTGATGGCCGGATGCAGAACTGTCTGGTTCCCCTCCACCTCCACCACACATTTTGTCTTTAGGTCTTTTTCTGGATTGGAACAGAAGTCAATCAGAAAAGCGGTGTATTTTAATGGTAACACAAAAAATGTGCTTTTCCCTGCTCTTTCCTTTGAGGACCTACAAAAACATGAAATGTGCAGTGAACAAAGTGCAAACAAAGCGCTCTCTAATCATCACAATGTACTGTTCAAATACTTTACAGAGCATGTACGCACTAGTCGTCATAACTTTACTTAGCAGTCACTGCCACAACTCTCATCACAAGACAACAGGTGGCAACCACTGTGTGAGTGCCAGTTCCTCGTGATCATAACACACACAGAGAGGTAGGAAATAGTTTTATTGATGGTGATTCATCTAGGACCTGCCTGTGCAAACATTACAACCAGTGCACTGCTCCCTGGGCCGACAGTAAGGAAAAGCAGGGTCACAGCTTCTCTTCCTCATTCCTAC